ATATACTGATGAAAGGGCTAATCCCTCAGAAGACAACAATTGTAAACATATATGTTCCTAAGAATAGAGGTCTTCACTTTCTAGATTTTAGTTCTGGATTTTAGTTTAGTTAGGTTTATTTCTGTCCTCGGGTCTCTGGTGAGTTTAAAAAATGATGACTTTGTAGTTTATCTGGTTTGTTGTTATTGTTGGGGTAGAGGTCACAATGTCCTGTGACTCAAGTTGGAAGTCCTGTAAATGAGATATTAATGGTTTCTAATGGGTAGGAGACAAAGTCTGGCTCCAACAAAAGTCAGATTCTAGTATAAGTCAGAACTCTAGAAAAGGTTGACACATAAACTGACCACTCAAAGGGAGACTTACCTGTTTGGGCCTGACTCTAGCATGAGAGGGAAAAAGAAAGAAGACAGAATCTCCTCTGAGAATTTTGATCCATAAGCCCACACTCAGGCTGGTTTCGAGACATAGCTCATGCTCCCTACCTGGTCTCAAAACCACCAAGCCAAGATTTCATTTTAAAGTAACCATAGGCTGTTATTGCTCCTATATGCCTGGCAAAAGCAAAGGAAATCTCTCCATAATTCATGTTAAACATTGATTTCAGCCCTTTCTGTGCCTAGAACAGTCATGACTCATGGTCCTGAAGTATGTAGCAGCTCCAGACATTGGACGGAGGACATACTAACTAAAATTTTTGCCTTTCCTGCATTCACAGGGCTCAACAAGTGGCTCCCTTTCATCATTTTAGTAAGGAACAGACAGGTGCTGTCAGGAGAGAAAATAGAGATATGCACAGAGTAGTCCCTTAGGAGTGATGGCAGCCTGCACACTGATTTAGGATACCCTGCCAGTTTCAGGGGTGTCATCAACAATGACAAGAGTGATGAAAATTTCAGAGGTCACTTTGCTGTTCACCAACTTACATTTGAGGAGGCCAACTATAAGTTCTGTGAAATGAGAAAGGTCTTTGTGGGCACCACCCAGACTGACATCTTCTAGACTGATTTGGACTTAACCAGATCAATTGGCCATTTCATCAGGTTCTGCTGCCCTATGCATATTGACTGAAAGTGCTAACCTGGGACAGATGGATGTGATCACCAGCAGAGAAACAGCCTGACTCTTGCTGTGGCTTATGTGAAAGACGCCAGTGGCAATAGCTTTGCCACCAGGCTTTCCAGCAGATTCATCATTGGAGAAGAAAACAAACCATAGATTTCCCTGCTGCAAAGAAAGAATATTTGCCTCGCCACAGAGATGATTAGTGAAACAGAGCAATGGGTGAAATGATTTCCAGATGAGAGAAGCGCAGAGCTCCTTGTGACTAAAGATGTATTAGCATGGAGGGAAAAAAAACAAAAACAAAACATTATTTTAAGAGAATTTCCACCAAGGGAACATCATGCACTCATGCACTTACAGTTTTTTTTTTAATTACTGTAACACACAAACAAACAAATCCAAATAAATAAGTCAGCAGAAAAAAATGGTCAGACTCCCAAGATCGATACTGGATTTATTAGATACATATTATATAGAGAGTGTTTAGTCCATGTTCAATTTTAGCTGCACAAATGAACATGAAAATCTTGACATTATAGTGTTGAATCAAAAGAGGCAAGTCCAAAATCAGTAAAGTGGGTAAATGAATTTTAGTCTACTTATACAACCCAATATAATGAGCAATTTTTAAAAAATGCATAGAACTATTCATATCAACAGGGATGAATTTTAGAAGTAGAATGTTGCATGAGAAAAACATTTAAAAATACATATATGAGTTCTTTTATTTAAGTTTTAAGACCTGGATACACCATATATTGTAAAAATATTTGTTGAAGTAGCTGGTAATTTATAATTCAGAATAATGGTTTCATGTGGAGGGGAAGGAGAGGGAGAAAATCAGAGAGGGAATATGGTTGGCTTAAAAGATTTATTGGGTTGTGTTTTATTAAGCCTGGAGGTTAAACATACAGGTGTTTGTTTTTATGAATATTTTTTAAGTGTATGAGTACATTTTATTCATTATTTTAAGATCAGTGGTCTGACTGAGAAGGGACTAGCGGTTACCAAAGGGGAAGGGCTGGGGAGGGGAGGGGAGGGTAGGAGAAGGGGGTTAAGCGGCCCAGTAATCCACAATCACAATATAGGTTGGTAACTAGTACAGCTCAGAGAGTACAGTTAGTGATTCTGTCACATCTCACTACGTTGACGGACAGTGACAGCACTGGAGGGGGTGAGGACTTGATAATATGGGCCAACGTTGACCCACTGTGTTGTGTATTTGAAACCATCATAAGATTGCAATTTAAAAAAAGGAGAAAAAGCTCAGTGGTCTAAATTATTAAGATGATTTAAGTATATAAGTATGTTTTATTCATTATTTAAGTGTATGAGTACATTTTTTCAAATTTTTTGTGAATGAATTTTCAATTTTAAAGAACTCAAATCTTGTTTAAGATCTTGTTTTAAAATCTTGTTTTCAATTTTAAAGAACTCAAATCTTGTCTGAATCCTTGTTAGGAAGACCTCACTGAATATAAAACGTTCTTTCCTGGAAGACAAAATATGAAAGAGGTCCATCTGGTGGTGAATTTGAGAATCTCGAATACAGGGATTCACTAAAGGAAGACACTGGATTGTAAGGCTTTTGTGTTCAGAATGGCCCATTCAGAAACCATGTACACAAGCAGAAAAAAAAAATCTTTGTAATTCAAATGAAAAACTCTTTGTTTTCAGAAGCACATGGTAAAATGTTTCAGTTTATCTCTAACTTGTTGAAAGATTAAAGATCAACCTTAGGCAATTTCTGAGGCCCCAGCCTCCTGTATTTGGTCACTTTTACCTCTGTTATCAGATCACTCCCCTCAGTTCAGGTGCTGTGAGCTTTCCTCTAGGCCTCCTGTGCCTCGGTGCACCTTCCCTGCCTAAGCCTTGGAGAACGCGTGCCTGCACCATTCCTCGTCTAAACTAAATGCTGCCCGCCCTCCTACTTTAAGGTCATGAGCCCTATTCACACAGCTATTCAGAATTTAGGCCACTGTGTGTGAATATATTGTTACATGAAAATGAACAGGATCCAGATCTGTGTGCAGTGTGTGTTCCCATTGAAAGGAATGTTTTCATATCTATAGAATATTTGGGGAAGGGCACAAGAAATCTATCTCCTCAGATTAAGAAAAGTGACTCTGGGGAAAGTAAGTAAGAAAGAGACTTACATTTTGGTTTTTAACTGTCTATTTAATTGATGTTAGTAGAGTTTAGTTACAATGTGCATGTATCCCTTCCTCATGCAAATTATCAAGAGAGAAAGTGATGTGTATTTTATACATGTGGATGCTATCACACTGATAAACTTCCTGCAGACAAAGAACATTGATGCTTTCTAATGGATTTTATGTCTTAGTATTGAAGCCTCGCAGCTGTGGTGTAGGGCAAACTTGGGTTCTCATGGGAATCTCTCTTGTGTGTCTTTGGACATTTTCATTACCCTTAATATTTAGCTACAACTTTTGGCTTAAAATGATTTATGTGACAACCAACATATTTTCCCAATTAGGTTGAAAAAAGTCAGTTTACGCTTTTACGCTTTTTATTTGTGTTTGAGTCTTGATAGTTTATAAATTGCCTGAATTCTCAGACTGGCACATAACCTTTGCAAAGATGTACTTCAGACACTAACTGGAAAAAACACTGTAATTCCTATAATTCCTTTTATCTTAGCAAACTCCAGAATGAACGTACAAACAAGGAGCAGTAAAAATGTGTTTTCTGAGCAAATCTTTTGTAGTAGACGGAGTGTTTCAGCCCTCAACATTCACTCCCCTTCCCGTTGAGTGGCAGCAGTGGGCTTTGGGGAACTGACCTGGGCTCCGCTGATGGACCCTGGTTGGGAAGCCAGCTACTGCTTCAAGGACCTAGTCCTTGGGGGATGTAAATTGGCTGGGGATGTAAGTCTAGAAGATACAGACTTCTATTTGGTAGCTTAGAAGAGGTGGTTTCTTCCATCTACTGGAAATAAATAGAGAAGTAGCAGGGCCTTATTGTAACTGGCAGCTGTCCCATAAACCAGAGGGGAATCAGACATGGAATGACGCAGACCCTGTGGTCACAGAGCAAGGCGATGGGAAGAGCCTGTGTTCTTGAAGACACAGTTGATCTGCTCAGCCAACCAACCCTGGGAGCTGCTCCGTCTCTGGACTTCGTGTAAATGCCAGCTAGTCAATGTTACATTGTCTGAGGCAAATTGGTTTGGATGCCTTTTCTAATACTTCCAATTGAAAACATGCTGATGCATAGTTCAACAGAACAGTAAGAAAACCCCTCAGTAAATTAATGACACATTGTCTAGGCTAGATCTTGAGTACCCTTCTCCAGTTGAATTTCTTGACTATTTTAATTATAAAAGTAAATATAATTCAGAAAATGGACATTCGTAAGAAGGATTGAATTCTGTATACTCAGATTTGTGTAGTAGAGTGTCTTACTGTATTCAGGCTGCTGTACCAGAATACCACAGACTGGGTGGCTGAACCGACAAACATTTATTTCTCATGGTTCCGGAGGCTGGAAGTCTGACGTGAGGGTGCCAGCATGGTGAAGTTGTGCCCTCTTCCTGGTTTACAATGGCCACCTTCTTGCTGTATCTCACTTGCAGAGAGAGACAGTCTCTGTCCTATCTCTTTTTATAAAAGCACCAATCTCATTTACAAGGGCTCCACCCTCACTACCTAATTACTTCCCAAAGGCCCTACTACAAATGTCATACATTGGCGATTAGGATTTCAACATGTGAATTTTGGGGAGACATAAACTTTTAGTGCATAGCATGGCATGTAACATAAATAGTATTAAAACATTAATCTAGGTAAGCCTATTGCAGATAAAGAACCCTGGATTAACCATGAAACAGAATAAGCACATGCTTAGGTGTTTTTGTTTATTCAGGCCGCTGTAAGAAAAAAAACGGCTTATAAACAATAAACACTTATTTCTTACAGTTCTGGAAGCTGGGAAGTTCAAGACGGAGGCACTGGCAGATTCAGTGTCTGGTGAGTGGTCTCCTCCTGGTCCTCGGATGGCCGTCTGTTTTTGCTGTACCCTCACATGGAGAAAAAGGTGAGAGATCTCTCTGGGGCCTCTGTTATAAGGGCACTAATTCTATTCGTGAGGACTCTACCCTCATGACCTAGCCACCTCCCAGAGGCCCCTCCTTTTCATACTGACACATTAGGGTTCAGCCTATGAATTTGGGGAGACACAAATATTCAACCTGTAGCATAGGGCACTAGAGAAGAGAGGCGTCACAGAACTTTGTCAAATTTTAATAAGATCAGTCTTAGGTCAAGTTTTAGAAATTCATTATCTCCTGAAGCTTCATCTAGAAACTTAATGCTGAGTTAGAAGCTACATGTAAATTGGTGGGCTTTTTATCTATGTATCTATCTACCCTATTGATTGTAAATTGTAAACTCTTAATTTAAATTCTTTCATGGTTTTAGATACATGGAAGTTTTCTGTTTTTCCTTGAGTCACTTTAAGTAACATTTGTATTCGCAGGAAATTGTCCATTTTGTCTGTTTTCTGATTTAACCACAAAGTTGCTCACAATATTCTTTTATTTTCTAAATCCCTGCTATACTTGTTATGTCCCCCTTTTTCATTTTTTATTTTTTCTCTCTTTTTTAAATTTTTCTCTTTTATATTTTTTCTCTTATTCAGAGTCATGTCAGGGATTTTATTTTCCCTCATTTTACTAGAAGATGGTAAATAATAAAGAAGAAACAGAAGAGAGTAAGGAAATGGGACTATTCCTTCTGTATGTTAAATGCATTTTAAATCTAGTACTGATAGAAAAACAAATTTCAAGCAGTATGACAAAGTGGAAAAATATATCCATCTATCTATATATATGCAATTAGACATTAAATTACAAATTTAATATGTAATGAGTATCATAAATGCAATTAATAGATGTATATATGTATATGTACTTAATACATACTTTGTAAACCTCATCAATAAGTACATGAAAGTATATCACCACAAAATCAGCAAATAAATATATTAAAATCTAATATTCTTAATCATAATAACACAAATCCAGTTATAAAATACCAATCACATCTATTAAATAAGAAAAAAACAGCAAGTATAATATTTAATTCAGGTCTATCTCAAGATAACAGGTAAACTCAACATTTTAAAGAATTATTCCTCAATTCATTTTGGTTCCCTACTTGATAATAAGCATTAAAATCCCTAGAAATAATATCCATATTCTTTGTTCTAATGAAGCCTATCATAAGGATTTCTCTTAAAATAATTCAAAAGATAAAAGTACTCATACTGATGGTCACCACAGCATCAGACTGAGTCCAACCCCATGGAGACCCTCTGGGCCATAAGAGGTTAGTCTCAGCAATGATCAGGTATGAAATGAGCAGAAAACAGAAGAGGGGATTAAGTAGCAGCTGTTTTAAGGGCTGATTCAGGGATCCACATAATACCAACACCTAAATACACTAAGAAAGTGCTCCCTCCAAGAGAGGGAGACAGACCCTTGCACTGCAGTCATTCATATCTTTATTTTATCTCCTGAGTTAAAGTAGATACATTTTTAAGATAGATATACACATAAAGGTACATGTATGTATATATAATGTTCACTATTGTGTTTTAGTATATATGTATATATAATTGAAAGCCTGAAATGGACAGACATTTTATCCATTTGTAACTGGATAAAACTGATCTGGTTCTAAATTAATGAGAATGACACACTATAATAGCAATTTGTGTTACAAACTGTTCGTGAACATCTGTACTGCACAAATAAATTTGCCTCTGAAACTGCCACACTTTCCCAGAGTCCTACAGGGTATCCAGATGTAAATCTGCCTGGCTGACTGCCTTTGCTTTATCTATTTGGCTCACCAGTTTGTGAGCAAATTTATATGTGAAATTTTAAAAGCTGGCTCAGGACTCAGTGTGGAGTAGAAAAATAATTAACTGCAATTTGTATTTATGTAAGTAGAGTATTTTTCATAAATAATCAGACCATTTCAAAATATTCTCTCATTCATTTACACCACATTATCAAAAGCTGAGAAAGTATAAACAAATATTTTAAAAGCATAATTTAGTAAGATGTATTCCCAGCAGAGTACATTAGTTTGAACCAGACACAGGTGTTAGGATTTATATGTCCCTAGGGAGTGTTCCTAGGGAATAGTTCTTTCAATTCAGAAATTTTGTTTTCTACCAACTGATCATTTGAGATTCCATAAAATTTTGTTTCTTCATCTGCTGTGCCTAAGATCTACCAAACCCTGGGCTCTGAGCTAGAAATAAACAGAATGATAAGACTCAAACTTTGTTTCATGAGAAATTTGCAGTTTAATTATTCTCCCCCAGCTTCATTAAGATATAATTGACATTATGATATAACATTATGTAAGTTTAAGATGTACTATATGGTGATTTAATACATGTATATATTGCAAAATGTTTACCACAATAAGGCTAGTCAACACATCCTTCAACTCACATAATTACCATGTTGTTATCATGAGAACATTTAAATGTTGCTCAATAGCAACTTTCAAGTATATAATACAGAATTGTTAACTATAGTCATCATGCTATATATTAGATTTCCAGAACTTACTCCTTTTATAATTTGAAAGTGATGTTCACTGTGGAATTGCCATATGTGGGCTTTATTATGTTGAGAAATTTTATTAATTTTGTTACTTCTATACCAATTTGTTGAGAGTTTTTAATCATGAAGCAATGTTGAATTTTGTCAAATCCTTTTTCTGCATCTACTGAGCTGATTTTTCTTCCATTCTGGTAATGTGGCGTATCACATTTATTGACTTCCACTGTTGAACCATCCTTGCAGCCCAGGGATAAATGCCACTTCCTCATAATGTCTGATCCTTTTGATGTGCTGTTAAATGTAGTTTGCTAGTGTTTTATTTTTGGTGGTTTTTTTTTTTTTTGAGAATTTTTGCTTCTATGTTCATCAGAGATATTGTCCTGTAGTTTCCTTTTCTTGTCGTGTTCTTGTCTGGCTTTGGTATCAGGGTGATCCTGGCCTTGTAAAATGAGTTTGCAAATGTTCCCACCTCTTCAGTTTTTTGGAAGACTTTGAGAGGGATTGATGTTAATTCTTCTTTAAATGTTTGGTAGAATTCATCCATGAAGTCATCTGGTAATGGGTTTTTCCTTATTGGGAGGTTTTTTGATTGAATTTCCTTACTCATTATTGGTCAACATTTTTTATAAGGCAGGTGTAGTGGTGATGAACTCCCGCAGCTTTTGTTTGTCTAGGAAAGTCTTTATCTTTCCTTCATTTCTGAAGGACAACTTTACCAGATAACGTGTTCTTGGTTGGCAGTGTTTTTCTTTCAGCACTTCGAATATATCATCCCGCTCTTTCCTGGCTTGTACGGTTTCTACTGAGAAACCCGCTGATAGCTTTATGGAGATTCCCTTGTAAATGACAAGCTTCTTTTCTCTTGCTGCTCTTTAGATTCTCTCTTTGTCTTTGATTTTAGGCAGTTTTGTTATGTGCCTTGGATAAGATCATTCAGGCCTGAAATTTTGGGGTGGCCTAGCCTTCATCTTCATGAACTTGGGTGTCCATATCTCTACCCAGTTTTGGGAAGTTCCCAACTATTATTTCTTAAGTAAGCTTTCTGCCCCTTGTTCCCTCTCTTCTCCTGGAGCTCCAACAATACATAGATTATTTCTTTTAATCATGTCTAATAGGTCCTGAAGGCTTTCTTCATTCCCTTTCATTGTTTTTCTTTTTGTTCTTCTGACAGAATAATTTCAAAGAATCTGCCCTCAGATTCATTGATTTTTCCTTCTGTTTGGTCCAGTCTGTAATGGCAGCTCTCTACTTAATTCTTCAGTTCACTCATAATATTGTCATCTCCAAAATTTCTTTGTTTCTTTTTTGTTTTCTGCCTCTGTTGAGCATCTCATTTTGTTTTTGTATTGTTTTCCTGATTTCATTAAATTGTTTATCTGTGTTCTCTTGTAGCACTCTGAACATCTTGAGAATAATTATTTTGAATCCTTTCTCAGGAAATTCATGTATCCCCATTTTCCTTGGGATCATTTACTGGAAATATATTGCATTCCCGTGGGATGTCATATTTCTATGATTCTTCATGACCCCTCTAGCCTTGCATAGATGTCTGTGCATTTGAAGAAATAGTGACCTCTTCTAGACTTTATGGACTGACTTTGATAAGGAAAGCCTTGTGTGGGGGGCATGCTGGAGCCTGTTGTAACCCTGCGTCCAGCAGTGCAAGGCAACACCCATGGGGGCTTGTTATGGTCCAGGTCTGGGGGTCATGATGTCATCATCTCAGGCTGCTGGGTCTATGACATCAACTATGTGGTTCTAGACGAGGACTGCAAAGAGTCTGCAGTGGTTGCAAGGCCTGTTGGAATCCTCAGTGGTACCTCTAGGTACAGTGACTAGGGACCAGAGCAGGCAGTGGTGGTGGCCAGAGCTGGTGGTTTGGGGGCCACCTATAGACGTGTTGTAATGGCAGGAGCTGGATGCAGACTCACACATATTAATGGTGACTGGGGCCAGAAGCAAGGTGCCAGGGCCAACTATTAGGTCTAGCTGTCAGCATGCACGCTGTGGCCACAAGGTCACCCTGCCATCACAGCACAGCAGTGGAAGCCAGTGACAGGAGTCAGCCTGTGGGCGTGCAGATGCATAGCTGAAGGGGCTAGCTGCAGGTGAGCCCCAAAATGCAGGCCAGTACAAGGAAACAGAGCTGTATCCAGGTCCCCAAACAACCGTAGGGGCCTTGGTTGTTGGTGTTTATTCCTGCGCCTGCAGGATCTCCCCGTGGGCCTGCAGGTGCTAGTGAAGGCTGCTGCTGGAAGTTGGATCAGGGACACGCAGGCGCACAACTGGAAGGAGTAGCTAGCCTCAAATGTGGGCCCAGTGGTAGGCTCAGCTGCCAGGGAGTAGGCTGGCACCCCTGGGGCTGGGGTGGGGATTGGGGAAGGAGTGAGGAGGACTTCAAATGGCTGTCGTCTGTGAACTGGGAAAACTGTCGAGGGAGACCCTCAGTGATAAA